AGAGAGAGAGAGAGAGAGAGAGAGAGAGAGAGAGAGAGAGAGAGAGAGAGAGAGAGAGAGAGAGAGAGAGAGAAGAGAGAGGACACACGGGGGCTGTCGGGAAGAGGAACTTGGGGATAGCGGGTTGTTGTGGTTGATCAGGGGGAACAGCTAAATCGTGTTGCATATATCTCACTGTGCTAACTTCAGCTTGCTGTACGGCGATCGTACGACGTACGGCAGGTGAAGGGCTGAAGGAGCTAGCGGCGGCTCTGCAGCGCGCAATCGGAGTTTCAAAGGTTTCGGAGCCGGATATCGTACGGCTCGCTCCCGACACGCTTGCAGCGGTGCGCAGCGTCGTACCGACTCCTGACGCCGCTGCACATGAAGGAGCTAGCGGCGCCGTCGCCGCTGCTGCGACAGTATCCGCCGCCGCCGCTGCAGCGACGGCAGTTGCGACTATGGCTTCTACGCTGCCATCTCAGTCAGTCCCGCGGGGCCTGCCGCCGCCGCCGCCGCCCGGATGGTACGATGATGATAACGACAGCGCCGCCGCCGCTGCCGCCGCCGCCGCCGCTGGCGATGACGCTGCAACGGAGCTCGAGGAGGGCGAGTTGGAGCGCTTCACGGCGCAATGCCGGGAATTGGGCCTTATGGACGAGCGCGGCAACTTCACAACCCAAGGACCACCATCTCCATCATCATCATCGTCGTCGTCGTCGTCGAAGGAGCCATCGTCAACGTCGTCGTTGCCCTCGGCGGCGGGGGGCTGGACTGAGGACGTGTACGGCGAGGCCGGCTACAGCGGCTTTGAGGGGGGCCCATCAGGGCGGAGGGTGAGTTGAAAGCCGGGCCGGAGGAGAGTGTCGATATTAAAAAATGCTACCCAAGAAAGGGCGGCGGGGGGGGGGAGACAGGAGTAATTATAAAGAAACCACCTCCCCATCCCCATCCCCATCCTCTCATTACAGCCCTCCGGATCCATCATGCAGGTCCATGACGTACTGGACGAGCTGGAACAGTCGTTTTGGGACGAGCATGCGCCGGCTGGAGCCGCCCCGGGCGATGGCGCGGCCGATGACGACGAATGGGTGGAGCTGTCGTCCTTGGACGAGCAGACGCTGGCTGCCCTACTGGACAAGCTGGAGCGCAGCTGCGCCGCCGCCGCCGCCGGCGAGGCCGGCAAGCTGCTTCGTCACCTGGGCCGCGACTTCCAGATGACCCCACCTTCACCTTCGCCTTCGCTAACAACGACAACAACAACCACAACGACAGCAACCACCGGCAGCCAACAACCAACAGAAACCATCCGGCAAGACCACCATGCGCATCAACCACAGCCAACAACCCAAAAACAACAGCAAGAAAAAGCAGTAACGGTGCAGCCTCACCAGGAATGGGTGAAGGGGGTAGCATCCGGACAGGAGGCTGTGGAGGAGGAGGAGGCTGTGGAGGAGGAGGCTGTGGAGGAGGAGGAGGAGGAGGAAGGGGAGGAGCTGGTTCGGATGGCAGCTCCAGACGATCCGGATGTCGGGTTATTGAAGTTGAGTTTGGAGGAGCTGTTGGCTCTGGAGCGAGATTGGTGACCGTTGAGGAGGGACCACGCCCGGCGGCGCGGCGAACTGACTGTAGTTGGGTGGCTGGCAGAGGGCAGCAGTGGCGGGTTGGGGACGCGGTGGATGATGGTGATGGTGTGGTTGTGGTTCTGGTGGTGGTGGGCGGGGAGGGCAAAGGAAGTCTTGAGGGCGACTAAGGGCGGTGTTGGGAACACCATGCACATCCTCCCTTCAGCTTGTCATTCCACTGCGGAGTGGGCTGTGGTGGGGTGGGGTGAGCGGAGGAGAGGTGCCGGTGGGATTGTGACGTTGGAGGCTTCGTTTGGGTGTTGTTGGTGAGAAGTGCGGTGGTATTGGAAGTCGCTCCACGTATGGCAATGGGACAGGGGGACGGAGGGTGCATGTGATGCAGGTGCTCGCAGGGGTGGTGATGATGACATGCGAGGAATGGTGAGGGGCCAGGCTTCGAGAGGTTTTTGCGTGGTTGCCGCCGCCTCCTCCTCATTCTTCATTCGTCTCATTCTGACTCTGTTATTGTAACGCAACAGCCGGTTCACCTTCGGCCCACTTATAACCGCTTCACTCGGCGCCATAATTAATGAGATCTAACTGTCCATGGGCCCCCCCCTCAGGCTTTTACGGACGCAACCCCGCACTTGTGCGGAACTTGTAACATCTGTAACATGATGTGTATGCAGTATGGGGCCTTTGTGGAGGTTTCAGCGTTTACAATCAATTCGGTGTTATTATCGATTCGGTAACAGGATTTCTTTGACCACGGCGGGGTCAAAAAAGTGTTAAACAAGCGCCAGGACAGCCTCCGCTTTACATCACATCTTTCTTGTGGTGTCCTTATTTATGCTGCCGCAAGCAAATGCCGAAGGTGCATGTTTTATTGTTTTAGGGAACGTAATTTTTGACATTTGACCATTCACAAGGTGAAACATCCCTACGCTCATATGTTGGTTTGTATTAGGGGTAACTAACACATCCATAACCCCTGCAGAAACCGAGCCCCAGCCATAGAGGGACATAGGGTTTTAGGGTTTAGGGTTTTGGGGTTTTGGGGTTTTTAGGGTTTACACAACATCACAAGAATCCGCTACTGCTACAGCCACTCAGCTACAGCTTGGACGGCGCATCCTGTGTTTGCTGCTGCTGTTGGGCAGGTGGGGAGTATCAGCCCCAAATATCTGAAGACACGCACACCTGGTGATCTGGGCTTTTGTTGTTAAGAGGGAGGGGAGAGGGGGAAGAAAGGGAAGCATCTGGAAGCACCAGAAGGGTTAACCCCACCTTGCAGGTTTGGGGCGGCACGTGGACAGCTCTCCACCACATCCCCAGTGCCACAAGATTGTAGCTGCAGAACCTATTTAAGCTTAGCATCTTGATGAAGGATGATGTGGTCATGCTCGACGTCAAGGTGAACACCCGTGAGACCGTCCTTGTAGACTGTTAGGTGCTCTTTCGGACACTGCATTGCTTGCCATATTGTAGATACGGAGCTTACATCATGCGCAGTGCCTTGTGTGTGCCTGAACTCAAAACAAGTGCTTTGCTTTTTGTCCGATGCACAACCGTGGGACACCTCTTTCCTCCCTGTCTAGAAAGATAATTGCAGTTTTGAAGTTTTGACAAAAAGTGTCTTATAGCATAACCTAAACCTGCCGTTGGCCTCTGGTGCCCAGGAAGGTCCCTAAGACCAAGGATCTGTCAACCCTTTCTATTCTCTACACTCTCCCCTTTGATTTAAAGTTCGTCGGTTTACTTCAATACATTACCACTGTGTAAAAGATATTTGCCCATGTAGCAGCGTATGCAGCAGCACGACGTGCAGTAAGTGCGACCGGTGAAGAAATGCATTGCACGCGCGGCGTCACATAGCATGCAACTAACAGTGATTTGGGACGCCGGGCGTAATTTGGGCGGGGCCCGCGGAAGGAGGTCCGGAACACGGCATTGGCATTGCATGTTGATTAAGTGCTCGTCCTGTAGTGTAGTACGGCAAGTGCGGCGCGGGAGGAGCAGACCGGAATTGGCCAGAGGACAGTGACTGATACGGTAGTGCGTTACAAAGATTAGCTGGGAACAAAGCGCTGAATCCAGACAACGCTAGTTCGCCAGTCAACCGTGCAAGCAAGCGCAAGTCAGAACGTCGTCTGTTGGGGATTTTGAATTGTTTAAATAGTGATTTACTTTGTATTCGGGACCCAGCTCAATAGTAAAGTAGATAAGGCGATTTGACGTTGCTGGCATATCGGTCGCCAGTAACAGCGAAGTGATGGCAGAGCGCGAGCAATCGCGCGGCGGAGGCCAAGAAGGCTTGGAGGACATCCTCCAACAGCGGGACGAAGGAGGACACCAGAATGGCGGAGCACCTAGTTACCCGGAGGGGGCCGATGCGGTGAGTAACAGACGCCAGCTATTGCTCCGCGCGGTCAGACTGTAGGCACAGCCAGCCGCCGCAAGTTCTGTTATATCAAAGGCATGGGAGAGACCGGACCCAGTTTTAAAATAGCGGGAAAGGGATGCGCCG